CACACACACACACACACACACACATACTAGAAGATAAATTACAAATTTCATAATTTTCCCAAGAAAAATAAGGTTTCGCTGATTTCACGAAAATCGCCGTAAATTTGCATAAATTTACGAAAGAAAGTGAAACAAAAATTCACGTTCGGTGTTGCCAGTATGAGAATAATAATAAACAAGCCGATAATTCATTGTTGCGTTACACGCGTTACTGTTCCCCAGTCGTTGACAAAAGTGACAGGAGTGAAATACGAGGCCGCCTGTATTTCACGAATATTTGTTTCAAAGTGGTGTCATGCGACTCGTACAATTACACTAATTGCTATTTTCTGTCGCTCAATCACGTTTACAACGTGTAACGTTGTACGTTACATCCACTGTCTCACTGTCCCTCCCAATTTGCATTTTACTATTTAATTGAGGTGAAAAATTCTTCTTTACCGATCAAACTAGCATTTAATTGAGGTGAAAAATTCTTCTTTACCGAACAAACTATTTAATTGATATGAAAAATTCTTCTTTACCGATCAGACTAGTTTCAGAAAAAAAAAAAAAAAAGAAAAAAACGGATTAAAAAGAATAATTTTAAAAAATATATTTGCAATATTTGCCAGCGACGACCAAAATAGAAATTCCATTTCTTTCCATTTTACCCGGTCGTGGAATAAGATAACGGTTGGTATTAAAATTCGCGGTACGTATATTGAAAAATATATTGAAATGTTGGATCGCATTAAGTATAAAAAAACGAAGGAAATATAACATATATGCAGATGGCGAATACTCATCCACCGAATGTTTCTTCGCAGACAAGACACGGACGACGACATAATATCGAAGAAATCGCTGCAATCGGTCAAGCAGATTATCAACTTCCTGAAAGAACGTAAGATATCCACCGGGCAAGTACGATCTTTCGTTTTCTCATAAGATGAGCAATATGACGCTCCTAAGTTTCCATTATTGAATTAACTTTCATAGTCGTTCATTTTAAATAACGTTAGAAGTAGAAAGAATAATTACGAGCATCGTAACTGCGGCGTGATGGTTGTTTTAATTGGGGGAATAATTCAGAGAGAACTGGTCTTTTGGTTTCAAGATGCCAGGGAGGAAGGCCTGTTCCGGCGTGCAGGCCGCCGCGATCTCAGAAGGCGGATTTTAAATTCACTGAAGAAAGGGGAGAAACCTCATTTAGGGAACAATGACGCGGCTCTGGAATGCGCAGCCGCGTTGCAGCTATTCTTGAGCCATTTGAAGAAACCCGTGATGCCCCACCACGTCCAGCAACTTCTTCTTGGTAACTAGAAACTTCCTAGCTCCTCTGCCTTCGTCTCATTTAAAGTTCATTGTTGCGAAGTGAATTAAAGAATTGAGAGATTCATGGGCAATATTAAGCAGGATTGTCTGGTAACAGTACGAATAGGATTACTCGTTGTTTTCAGCGAAACACGAGTGAAATCGAAAAATTTTTAAGCGTCTCTCGCTCGAAGTGGAAATTGCATTTCACTTTCGACAATCTTCCACAATTCCTGTTTTGCATTTCAGTGAAATTTTGCAATTTCGTTGGATATTTTTCAAGTTACACGTTCCTTTTTTTTTCTTTTTTTTTTTTTTTTTTTAATTAAAAGTCAGCTTGGCCTTACTGTTACAGTCTCCGTTTTAGGCGTCATAAAAAGAGAGATTAACCTGGGCATCTCATTAAGGGAGATTACGAAATCTCAAGTGGGAATGTTCCTTGGAATGCAGAAACACAATGTGCTTCGTATTTAAAAAATATATATATATATATATAAAATATATATACAAATCGAAAGAAAACTGTCTAGATCTGATTCGTTTGCAAATGAAAATTAAAATCCCCTAGGAAGATATATCAATTATTTCACGAATAAATAAAGAAATAAAGAAAGATACACAAACCGTAAGATAAAAATCCAACGAAAAATCTAATTGTCCTTCCATTCTGTGAAAAACAAAAGTCCCTATGACAAAAGAGATGGGACAATTTATAGGTTAGATCCTCGCTTCCGCGTGATATTAATCTTACTTGACCAAGGCCATGAAACTAGAACGATTCTCGAATTGTTGTTACATTATTGAATTAGATGTACAACGTAACACATGTGGTGCGCCAACGCAGCATATCTGGTTGCAGCGTAGCGAAACAATACGCGTTGTCAATAAAATTAACGAGTTCAGCTACAATGGCGTTAAGTAATAACTCTTCGCGTTACCTAACTACAAATATTTGCAAACAATGTAGACTCATGTTCCCGTGTTCTCGAATGGTCACGTTTCGACGTGATATTCTATGCTGTAAGAGATTATGATACGTGATACGTTATTGTATACGGCAATTGAAACCGGCTGACACTCGTTGAAGAAGCAAATAAGAAATTACCAAACTATTCTTCTCTACGAGATTTTATTGCGACGTCGTCACGCCATTCTCTTTCTGTTTTTCGCGAAAGCATAGTTTCCATAGACTGTTGCGTTATGAAAGTAAAATCTGAAGTATCAAATATACA